AGTTAGCACTAAAGACAAATTAGCAAGGCTAAAATCTAAAACACTGACCATAGTGAATGCTGGTAGGAATACAAAATGATCCAGCCACTTTGGAAGATAATTTGGTAACTTCTTACGAAGCTAAAGACAGCCTTGCCATACAAACTAGTGCTCTGCACTCCTTAATATTCAGCCAAATGAGGTAAAAACTTATATCTACACAAAACCTGCATATGGATGTTTATAGCAGATGTACTCATAAGTGCCCTAACTTGGAAGCAACCAGGTTGTCCTTCAGTAGGTGAATGGATGAAGTGTGGTACAACCACACAGTTGAATATTATTCAGCAATAAAAAGAAGTGAGCTGTCAAGCAGTGAAAGAAATGGAGGATTCTTAAATGCATACTGCCAAGTGAAAGAAGCCAATCTGAACATAATTATATAATCATAACTGTATAATTCTTACTATATGATACTCTGAAAAGGCAAATCAAAGTAAAAAAGATCAGTAGTTTTCAGGAATTTAGGGGGAGGGACTATGAATGGGCAGAGCACAGAGGACTTTTAGGGCAATGAAACTATATATGATAGTATATATGGTGGATACATGTCATTATAAGCTTGTCAAAGCCCACAGAATGTACAACACAAAGAATGAATTCTAATGTAAACTATGGAAACCCACTTTAAAGACACAGGTTAAAATAATAATAAAAAACTTATTAACACTAATCAAAAGGAAGCTGAAATAACTATATTAATATCCATCAAAGTAGATTTCATAGCAAAGAATATTATTCAAGAACAAAAAGGGTCCTTCATGATGAAACAAGTCAATTCACAAAAACAATTTAAGAATTCTAAATGTTTTTACAACAGCAGAGTTTCCAAATACACGAAACAAAAACTGATAGAACTGAAAGAAGAGAGAAATTCACAGTTATAGTAAGGTGTTCATTTCAACATTCTTCTGTCAGTAATTGATAGAATAGAAAATCAGTAGAGGTACAGAAGAACAACTCTTATCACTCAATTTAACTTAACTGACAGAATATTCCTCCCAACAGCAGCAGAACACACATTCTTTTCAAGTGCACACACAACATTTATCAAGATATACCACATTCTGGACCATAAACAAGTCCTAATAAATTAAGCCTTTAACTATTAGATTGTTATCCAATCACATGGAATAACATTAGAGATCAATAACAGAAAGATATATAGAAAATCTCCAATTACTTGGAAACTAACTAAAACACTCCTAAATATTTCACAGGACAAGGAAGCAATAAAAAGAAAGTATTTTGAATTGAATGAAAATTAAAATACAACCTATCAAGATTGTGAATGCCATTAAAACAGTACATGGAGGAAATCTGTAGCATCAGACACCTCCCGTATTTCAAATGCTCATAATTTATGAATTATGACTGTAAAGTATTGGTCATGTGTGACCACTAAAGGGTGTATCACGCTATAGCTACTTTCTAAGCAACACCTGTTTTTTTTTTTCCAATTATTATTTTACTATATTCCCTTTGCAGGCTAACGTTCTTTCCTTAGAAAAGCAGTAAGGTATGGTAGATAAAACATAAATTCAAACTGGGTTTGAATTCTGGCTGTGATCAAGAAACGTACTTATTAACCTTTTCTGAAAATTTTTTCTTCCTGTGAAGAAGGAATAGAATTGCCTACTTCACAGGCTTATTGAGTTGATAAAATAATTAAAACACTTTATATAGTTTCTGGCATATAGTAGGTACTCAGTAAACAGTGGTTATCTTCCTGTCTTCCTGTTTGTGTGTTATATTAAGTTTGCAATACTTAGCACTCCAAACAATTCCTAGTAATGGTCACTTTTTATCAGCTTTTAACAACATTCTACCAACAGCAAATTAGTTATTTTAAATACCTTAGTGCAGTAAATTAATTTATATCCCATTGCCTTGTTCATTTACAATCTAGTGATCAGCTCAACAGATACAGATTGTAAGTTAGTTAATGAACAAGGTCCACACTAACCCAAATTAGTTCTAAAACTTTTTAAAAAATACTCAAGCGTTTGTTGAAGTTGATGATTTAAAATCTATATGCGAAACTGATATTTTAGTAATAAATAGAGCATGATTAAAAGTTTTTTCCTAAAATGTTACTCATTACCTTGCCATCGGTAATATATTTGCAATTAATTTTAAGAAATTTCTCAGTAAATGCTTCTTCCTCTTCAGAAGTTGAAGATACAACTCGTGCAGGTCGAATACCAGTAAAAGTAGTTGAAAGAGTTGCTTCTTTTGGGTGGACTACATCAGGACTCTTTAAAATAAATAAATAAACAAAGGCACTTCAGAGAATAAATAAAAATAAGCACATTCAAAGCCAAATGAATAGCTTTCCCCTTAAGTTTTCTTCCTTCTCATTACATTCTGGAAATCAGCACAAAATATTCTTATGTTAAAAAAATAAACAGGAAAGAATGATACCATTTTCAGTTCAGTAAAGAGCTTTAACACAGCCTAAACATACAGAATTCAATGTCTGTATGAATCATCTAGAGAATTTTGAAAACTACTTCTGTACCCACACCACACACATACACACACACTCTCTCTCAGATGCTCCTGAAAAAAACCACTGGTCTTGATAAGTGATTTATATCCCACATATATTTTACTTAATAAATCTGTCAGGCATTGGGAGCAGAGAAAGGGTGAAATGCAGTCTGTAATATCTAGGAATTCAGCAAAATCCATTCACTGGAAGAGCCCTTTAAAATCTCAAGCTTCAAAAGTTTATCAAGACCATTCTATGAAGTGTTGATTAGTGTCAGATCACAGATTAACTTTTTTGGTGACATGGACCATCCTCACAGTGAAGCCCATGGACCTCCTTGTCCTTGAATACTTAAAATATAGAATTATAAAGAAAGCAATTATATTGAAACACAAATATCAAAATATTTTGTAAAAGTTGGATATAGTTTATATATATATTCATACATATGCTTCTTCATTAATACATTAATTAACAAAACCTAGTGGTAACTCTGATAATTATAATTTTGAAACAGATGGCCATAAATGAAATTTTGTGGTACCTACAGCTCTAAAGTGATTAAGAAAATACCTGGCAGGTCTATTGGTGACAGTCACAGGTATGCCTGGTACTACTCTATAGTTTACTACTTATATTCTTAATTTTTAAAAAGTTAGATTTCAAGTTCTTAAACCCTTTAGAACTCAGTTCCCTGCAAAGTTCAACATTCTGTTCAGTGAAGGAAAGCTAGACAGATATTTAATCTTTGTTTTAAATACTTCCACAGAGGCATTCCCTACCTGAGTAAATGCAGCAGTGCCTTGCAGAATGGTTTTCATAGTAAAAAGGTTCTTTAGAGCTATAAGCTAAAATCTTTCACTTTGTAACTAATACCTAATAGCTCTGCTTTCACTTTTCAAAATAGTAAGACTGCTTCATTTTCAACCTCATAGACTGAGATACTTGTAAAAAGCTATCAAACTTTAACGTAACTTTTTCTACTCTAATAAATGGATCTGATTCCTTAAAACTATATGAGGACAGAATTTTTAGACTTCCTTTCTAAATTTCATATACCCTTCTTAAAATGCAGGGTTGAATCCCAAGCATGTGGGCAGATACTCAACAGATGTTTTTTGAAGGAAGGACAGACCATGGCAGAATATTGCAAAACAACTATATTTAATACATGATTATATTTTTAATAAACCTAAAATGGAGTTAGAGTTTAATAGTTGCATGACACTGTTCAATCACTAATACCAATTAAAAGTTCTCTTCAATTTTATTCTTCTTTGATGCAAATTAATATTATACTCATTCTGTTCTCTCTGGCAGTCATAACATATATAACATATATATGTTTTTTTCTTAACATATATAAATTAATTCAGCACAGATAACTTAAAAGGGGATAGCAATAACATTAATGGATATTTATAAATACTTGTTATGTTTAAGTGTGTTATATGGACTTCAATTTTAAGATCACTCATACTGGGTTACTTTAATTTTTGGAGGAAACTTATGCTTAGCTAAGTCCAGTAACTTCCCCATTGAATAAGATAAAGCTAAGATTCAAACCACGTCGCCAACACATGAGTTAGCGGGCTTAACTATAGCAATACTATATACCTTCCCTTTCAAATATTTTTCTAAACAATTGATAAATGTGTGGAGGGGAAAACAGCCAATGCAGAGCCACTGGGAGGTCCCTACAAGTTGGCACAAAGCCATCAACTTATTGTGTTTATGACTGTTCAGTTACCTCTAAATCCAGTTGACAACATTATCTACTATGTAACCATATTATTCACAAAAACTATCAAATGCTTTCCTTAATGAAGATATACCCCATTGAACAACATGACCTCTGAGGTTCCCTATATATTCCCTTTGCAGGCTAACGTTCTTTCCTTAGAAAAGCAGTAAGGTATGGTAGATAAAACATAAATTCAAACTGGGTTTGAATTCTGGCTGTGATCAAGAAACGTACTTATTAACCTTTTCTGAAAATTTTTTCTTCCTGTGAAGAAGGAATAGAATTGCCTACTTCACAGGCTTATTGAGTTGATAAAATAATTAAAACACTTTATATAGTTTCTGGCATATAGTAGGTACTCAGTAAACAGTGGTTATCTTCCTGTCTTCCTGTTTGTGTGTTATATTAAGTTTGCAATACTTAGCACTCCAAACAATTCCTAGTAATGGTCACTTTTTATCAGCTTTTAACAACATTCTACCAACAGCAAATTAGTTATTTTAAATACCTTAGTGCAGTAAATTAATTTATATCCCATTGCCTTGTTCATTTACAATCTAGTGATCAGCTCAACAGATACAGATTGTAAGTTAGTTAATGAACAAGGTCCACACTAACCCAAATTAGTTCTAAAACTTTTTAAAAAATACTCAAGCGTTTGTTGAAGTTGATGATTTAAAATCTATATGCGAAACTGATATTTTAGTAATAAATAGAGCATGATTAAAAGTTTTTTCCTAAAATGTTACTCATTACCTTGCCATCGGTAATATATTTGCAATTAATTTTAAGAAATTTCTCAGTAAATGCTTCTTCCTCTTCAGAAGTTGAAGATACAACTCGTGCAGGTCGAATACCAGTAAAAGTAGTTGAAAGAGTTGCTTCTTTTGGGTGGACTACATCAGGACTCTTTAAAATAAATAAATAAACAAAGGCACTTCAGAGAATAAATAAAAATAAGCACATTCAAAGCCAAATGAATAGCTTTCCCCTTAAGTTTTCTTCCTTCTCATTACATTCTGGAAATCAGCACAAAATATTCTTATGTTAAAAAAATAAACAGGAAAGAATGATACCATTTTCAGTTCAGTAAAGAGCTTTAACACAGCCTAAACATACAGAATTCAATGTCTGTATGAATCATCTAGAGAATTTTGAAAACTACTTCTGTACCCACACCACACACATACACACACACTCTCTCTCAGATGCTCCTGAAAAAAACCACTGGTCTTGATAAGTGATTTATATCCCACATATATTTTACTTAATAAATCTGTCAGGCATTGGGAGCAGAGAAAGGGTGAAATGCAGTCTGTAATATCTAGGAATTCAGCAAAATCCATTCACTGGAAGAGCCCTTTAAAATCTCAAGCTTCAAAAGTTTATCAAGACCATTCTATGAAGTGTTAATTAGTGTCAGATCACAGATTAACTTTTTTGGTGACATGGACCATCCTCACAGTGAAGCCCATGGACCTCCTTGTCAGAACGCTTCCTTGAATACTTAAAATATAGAATTATAAAGAAAGCAATTATATTGAAACACAAATATCAAAATATTTTGTAAAAGTTGGATATAGTTTATATATATATTCATACATATGCTTCTTCATTAATACATTAATTAACAAAACCTAGTGGTAACTCTGATAATTATAATTTTGAAACAGATGGCCATAAATGAAATTTTGTGGTACCTACAGCTCTAAAGTGATTAAGAAAATACCTGGCAGGTCTATTGGTGACAGTCACAGGTATGCCTGGTACTACTCTATAGTTTACTACTTATATTCTTAATTTTTAAAAAGTTAGATTTCAAGTTCTTAAACCCTTTAGAACTCAGTTCCCTGCAAAGTTCAACATTCTGTTCAGTGAAGGAAAGCTAGACAGATATTTAATCTTTGTTTTAAATACTTCCACAGAGGCATTCCCTACCTGAGTAAATGCAGTAGTGCCTTGCAGAATGGTTTTCATAGTAAAAAGGTTCTTTAGAGCTATAAGCTAAAATCTTTCACTTTGTAACTAATACCTAATAGCTCTGCTTTCACTTTTCAAAATAGTAAGACTGCTTCATTTTCAACCTCATAGACTGAGATACTTGTAAAAAGCTATCAAACTTTAACGTAACTTTTTCTACTCTAATAAATGGATCTGATTCCTTAAAACTATATGAGGACAGAATTTTTAGACTTCCTTTCTAAATTTCATATACCCTTCTTAAAATGCAGGGTTGAATCCCAAGCATGTGGGCAGATACTCAACAGATGTTTTTTGAAGGAAGGACAGACGATGGCAGAATATTGCAAAACAACTATATTTAATACATGATTATATTTTTAATAAACCTAAAATGGAGTTAGAGTTTAATAGTTGCATGACACTGTTCAATCACTAATACCAATTAAAAGTTCTCTTCAATTTTATTCTTCTTTGATGCAAGTTAATATTATACTCATTCTGTTCTCTCTGGCAGTCATAACATATATAACATATATATGTTTTTTTTCTTAACATATATAAATTAATTCAGCACAGATAACTTAAAAGGGGATAGCAATAACATTAATGGATATTTATAAATACTTGTTATGTTTAAGTGTGTTATATGGACTTCAATTTTAAGATCACTCATACTGGGTTACTTTAATTTTTGGAGGAAACTTATGCTTAGCTAAGTCCAGTAACTTCCCCATTGAATAAGATAAAGCTAAGATTCAAACCACGTCGCCAACACATGAGTTAGCGGGCTTAACTATAGCAATACTATATACCTTCCCTTTCAAATATTTTTCTAAACAATTGATAAATGTGTGGAGGGGAAAACAGCCAATGCAGAGCCACTGGGAGGTCCCTACAAGTTGGCACAAAGCCATCAACTTATTGTGTTTATGATTGTTCAGTTACCTCTAAATCCAGTTGACAACATTATCTACTATGTAACCATATTATTCACAAAAACTATCAAATGCTTTCCTTAATGAAGATATACCCCATTGAACAACATGACCTCTGAGGTTCCCTCAAAGTCTCTAATTCTACAACTGAGCATCTATAGCAATCCCAGTTTGTCATAATCCTATTAAAAAGAATATATGAGATTATCTCAGCAAATGCTCAGAGTATAGCACAAAAGAGTGCATCTATTTTAAAAAAGATCAAAGTTGTTCAGAGGAATCATAATCAGACCTCATTATAATTTACATATATTACATTATCCAAAGTGTCAGTATTTCTGTGTAGCTGGTTTTGACTGGTATTTATAGATTCTGATTCTTAATGTAGTGATTTTTGAAGCTCATTTGAGAACTTTCTAAAGTACTTTTGTTCACTTTTGTTTTAGCCAATAGGAATGGAAAGGGCCTTAAAAATACAGTATAAACATCCATCTGTAGAGTCTCAATTATTGCCCCAAATGTTCAAACATGCAAAAGCAAAGCAATGCTAAGACAAATGACCCCAAAAGATTTATGTATGTTCATTGTTTTTATACAGTATGATTAAATGTTATACAATATGATTTGTATATTATCACTGTAAATTATTACCATAACCGAATTAGCAACTCCAAACTCTTCATTTCCCATCTTGCCTTGGCTTTGCTGAGCTCTTGCCCCTTTGAAATTGAAAATATGTAGAAATGTTCTCAGGTAACATACAGGAAAGGCATAGAAGTTTGAAGAGGAAAAAAACATGCAGGCATAGAATAACGACATTGGTATTTATTTCACACAACATACATAATATGAAATTTAAAGAAAATATTTACTTTTAAAGCAATGAAATTATGTTTCTTCATTTAGTCCAACAGACATGATGTGTACCATTTACTACTTGTAAATTATTATGCTTAACCACCTCTCTCAGAATTTAATTAAATTCCACTTGAGACCAGGAATTTGAGGGTCTTAAAGTCAACACACAGAATAAAGTAAGATAAATTAAAAAATAAAAATATCATAGTGATGAGAAAGTAAAGTGCAACTTTAAGAGTTATATTTGGGGCTTTGGATATGGCTCTGAAGTTTCCAGGAACCAGGTTAAAAAGCAAAGCAGAATTAATTTTTAAGTTATAATTATGGGAATGATACTTCTATTCAGAGTCTAGAAGAACACTCTCACCCTGAGAGTTTAACCATTTCTTATTTGTAGTGTTACAAATACAGGAATTTACATAAAGAATCGCTTTCCTAAAATCTACATAAGTACAAAGTCCTACTATAAAGTTCTCCTTTTTCACAAATTAACTATAAAATTTTGTATACAGAATATAAGACCAAGGTCTGATAAAAAAGCACATATTAAAAAATTATAATTTCCTAATAAATTGTTTATATTTAAATTAGGTTTAAAAGCACCAAATCAAAATTATATAATATATAAATGATATATACTATAGAATTTATTTATATATATGATATTTATAGTTATTTAATTTTCTATTATAGCTAAATTATATAATATATAAATGATACATACTATAGAATTTACGTTTTTTATATATATTTGTAGTTATTTAATTGTTACATAATCTATAAGCTTATAGATTATATAATAAAGTACATATATTTATAAATTAAAATTTAGATTTAAACACATGAAAGTTGAAATTATAATTTATATATTCATTGCATATAACAGGTAAGTATACATATTATATATTTTAGTGATTTTAAATTTATTTTAAGTTTAAATAGGTAATATATACATATATAGAGAAAGAGGAAAAGTGGGGGAAATAAGGAAGGAAGGAGAGAGAGAAGGGACAGAGGTATGTTTGTGACTAGTTTAAGGGTGGCCTGTGTGAGAACATTTCTTGAAGCATATGCAGTATTTAACCTCTTCAAACTATCTTGATATTTCTAACCAAATTTTTTTTTACTTCTTACACATCTGCTATTACTTTAATTAATGTCTGTTTTCAGGTATACAATTTTAGTTCATGTGTCTCAGTCACAGATTGTCTATACTGCTAGTCTTCACAATTTCATTAAGTAGGCAGTTCAAAAAGTAGTTAAGAACACAACACAAAATCTGGACGTAGACTCTCAGAGTTTCGATCCCACCTGTATCCCTAATTTACCATGTGACCTTGTTTAAAGCACTCATTCTCCTCTCTAAGCCTTAGTTTCCTCATTGATAAAATAAGTGCACGGTGAGCTCTTTTAAAGTATTAACAGTAAGAGTATAATCACAGCTGATGCTTAAAGCTTTTGGTGTGCCTATTGCCCTGTTGCTACCTTATATATTTTCCTTCTCTAAGTATTCTAGACCTTTCATAGAATTTTTAACAATATTTTTAAACTGTATTTTCTGACCGCTGTGTATCAAATCCAATTGTTATAGTACTCTGATATTAAAGAGAATACAACTTTCTGCATATCTCATCCTTCAGTGGAGTACATTAGTTTAAGCAAAAATAAAGACTATTTGAAATCATTTCATTTTTCTACATTACTTGTTTTAAACATTTTTCCTCTGAATATCATCTTGAATGTAGTGATATCACACTGCTAGTTTTAGCCTAAAATGGCATTAGCATAATGAGTAAATTTACAGTGCAGAGGAAAAACAAAAGGAGGTAAAAAAAAACAAAAGATTCTATGTTTATAAGAGGATGTTTGATTTAAAGAATCTTACAAAGATGATAGTACAAAGTGGCAGCTATTAGTACACTCATGTATAATGATTAAATACTATTTCTCTCTTTGGGCCCAATTATTTATTGGACAATATTAGTTTCTAAGTCATCAATTTCCAGCTATAAAATGATAATAAGGACTATAGACTCTATACCCAGCCTTCCTGGGTTGGAATCATAACTTGGCTAATAGCTATTCAAACACAAACTACTTAATCTCTCACCTGTGAAATAAATACTACATTGGGTCAGGTTCTGGAAAAAATAGATGATACATCAATTTGAGTGATTTTTAAGAGAGTTTAATAATGCAACTATTTATGAAAGTATGCAGTGTATAAAAAAATCTAGGGTAAAAAACAACGGGCTTCATTATTACCATAGGCCTAAAGACATAAGAGGGGAGAAACAGATACCTAATCCTGGTGATAGAGAGGGATCTGTGGCTCACAAGAGATGACATGTTAAGAATGAAGCCACTCTGGAATGAGCTTGTAGGTAGGGAGCTGGAGAATAAATATGCATCTTCCCCCTTTCCCTTTTATCTTCCACCAATGCTCTTCAAAGACCAAAACCAAAAGAAGCAAAAGGTCAAGGGAGGCCACTGATGAAACCTACCACCCAAAGGAGAATAAGAAGGTTAAGGCTGGATCTGGAAGAGAAAACAAAGACAGCCAGGCCAAGTGCTTAATTCTTAAGTTTGAGGTTAGGAATAAATGATAAAACTTTAAAAGTGCTTAGAAATTTATTTACCTGACATACTAAATTTTCATTACTTATCATTTATTTCATCTTACTTTGGTTCTACCTCCTTATGTGTTTCTTCATTAATATGTAAAGAAAAAAAGAGAATAAACTGTTTGACCCAGGAAATTCTCAAAGACAATTATTTTTCTGTGAAATAAATTATTCAAAAAAGCACCGAAGTTCTTATGCTAACAAAGCCAGGAACATAACATTTTGGCCTCATAGGTAAGCCACTGCAAAGTTGAACATTCAGGAAACCTATCAGTCATTATTAGAAATAAAAACTGTTAATTTCTGGGAAAAACATAACAATAATATATACATATAGAATGGGAGACATAAATATAATAATTATAATACAGAGACATAAGAACTTGAGATATGTATAAAGTTATGTAGGACTATCTTTGAGTCTAGGAATGAATATATTTCTAGGTAAAAAAATAAAATTACAGTTCATAAAACAACTGTTCAAAAGAAATTATTGCTAACAATTGCCCATAATCAGATAGCAGGTGATTACTATCATTGAGGTAAAGGGAATTTCAAGAACTCTAACTCTTTCCTGAATCCATCTCATAGAAAGAATTTATTCATATTGCTGGTCATATTAGAGGATGCTTCTTGGGCTTTGACAGCAGCTGAGTCACTACAGATCAAAAGGTCATTCATATGACTTTATTATTCTCTCCTTCTCTTTCACCAACATGGCAAATGCGAAGGAGAGCATTTTCACAGAGGAGGAAGCCTGGCTTCCTTGCTCCCTTGAGCTTCAGCACTCTTTTCTCTTTGACCCTTTGTCTTTAAATAGAGCCAGGTGGTAGGCAGATTTAGGTTAAAGCTGAAGGACAGAGAAGGGCCCCACATATTTCTAGTCAGACAAGGTACTACAGTCTAGCTTTTCACAGTTCTGTTTTAGGGTTTGAAACACAAGCTAAATTACCCTAAGGCTACATAGCTCTTCTCTATCACTGCCTCTTATCAGTGCATCTCTTCCTAAGTCCCAGGAAAATGACATGGTCATGTTCAAAAAGGTGTTCTTGCATCATTTGGTCCAATAATACCTATCATTAGAACCTGACTTCTATTCTCATCAATGATGACGATAAATGTAATATATTCCTTTCACATGACTGAATTCTAAAATATAGTGTTATATTTATACAAATAAAATAATAACCAACAAATAAACATTTGAAGAAGACCCAACTTCTCTCTTTCACACATACACACATACAAACACACAGAAAAAAGTCCCTGGGTAAGGAGAAAACCTGTTACCAATAATTTCATGTACATTAGTCCATGAAAGAAGTAGAAATAGCCTAATAATAGAACTTAGAAACTAATAATGCCTAAAATTGTAGACATATTAACATTAATCATTTGTCTTTTGTTGCCAGTGTGCCATTTAGTACTCTAAATTTTGAGTGCAAACTTTCTAGTTTGCACTCAAAAGAAAAGGATGCCTCCTAACGTCAGCAGAAGAATCCCCCACAGGAGTCCAGCCTTTTAATGGAGGAATAGCCTTTTACATGCAACAATAATCATTAGGTCATTATGAAAATGGAAATTATGATTAGTGTTAATTTACATAAAAGGCATAAATAATGTAATTCCTTTCAGAGAGATTGTCATAAAAAATACCTAATAAATTTTGATTCCTTAAAATTCATTTGTAAAATGCAACTTATATAGAACATTCCTTAAAAATGCTAGATAAATTAATTCACTATTAATCATTCAGAATCAATATTTGGAAGAATGGCTAAGAAGATAATTCTTTTTAAAAAGGCAGTGTGTCAAAACGAACTCAAGAGTTCCATGTATTAAATAAATATTCACAGAAACTGAAATAAAAACCAAATTGAACATGGACTTACCATGATACTCCCATGTGGTTAAATTATTTTACAGTATTTATAAGAGAGAGTTGATGAGTATCTCTGGACCAGTATGACCAACAGTAAGTCAATTTAAGCTATCTGGTTTAATATGAATGTTTCACTTTAAAAACTGGGCTTTACAAATTTAAGTAACAAAATAGAGGGGTAAAATATTGTTCTAACCATAATCAAAGTAGTATTGAAAAAATCATGATGATATATATGTACCCAGTGAGATTTCTTCATAGCTATCTTTGAAAAGTAGGGACACTTACAGTGGTCTTGTCAATTTCAGCTTCAGACGATGTTGGTGACAGAGGACTTACAGGACTTAAGGATGGAGAGCTGTCAACACTGGAGATGTATTCAGGATCAGGAACATACAAAACCTGCAAGAAAACATTCACACAAAAATTCAGTCAAACTGAAATAATAATCAGATGGTGCTCTATAAGCATGTACTATTAATGATCTTCAGCAATAAATAGAAACAATAAAAATTTTTGCATTAAAAGAGTATTTATTACCATAATTCTAACAAAGTGAAAAAAAAAGATATTAAATTCAGTTTAGACAAGCTTGATAATATATAATAGGGGTAGAGTGAGCAAAACATCATGCTCATATATTACGGATGTTCCTCATAAAGGGCAATTTGGAAATAGCTAGCAAAAACTAAAATACACACATCCTTTAACTCAGCAATTTCACTTCTGTGACTTAATAGAAATACTGCATATAAAGGAAAAGAGATGTGTACAAGAATGTTCCCTATAACAATGTCTACAATAGCAAAAAAGTGGAAACAGTTTAAAACTCACTGTATCTAGTTAAACTATATTAACACAGCACAACACTACAATGGGAGAAAGTCTGAAATAAAGCTGTTCTTAAACAGAACACTTTCCCAAGGATCAAAGTTAAATTAAAAATTTTAAAAAAGGCTAGAATATTTCTGGAAGGGGGTACAGACTGGAATCCTGGTTGCTTTTGGATAAAGAAAACTGGAAGTCTGGGATATGATAACTTACCTTTAAAAATGTTTGTATTTTTCATCATGTACATGTACTGCTTTGAATATTTTAAAACAACATTTGAAAAGACAATTCACAATGATTTTCAAAATACATTAAGAAAAATCCATATGGATATAAGTGACAGTTAATTTTCTCTTCAGGAGCCAGTAAGAGTGTTCAAAGCATGCATAAAAATATTCTTCTTAAATATTCTATATTATTAACTATACTGCAATGGATACTTTCTATCTTGCTATTTAATGCTTCTAAACACAAATGTATTAAAAAAAGATACCTGTCCAGTAACAACTGCTCGGGAGAATAACTTATTTAATTGAACAAGTTCGTTGGGTGTTGTATCAAATTTCAGGGCTATACTATTCAAAGAATCCCTTGATTCAACCTGTTTAAAAGAAAAAATAAATTATTTGATCTGTTAAAACAGAAAAACTAAAATATAAGGTTTAACAACCATTAAAATGTCTCTGGACCAAGCTTACATTTGATTAATAAGTGGTATTTCCATCTTGGATATAGGGTAACTTGAGAAAGTTTGTGTTTTGCTAGCAAATGGTCTGTATTACAACTACACGTGATCTTGTACTTCAAGCAGTTTCAAAATACAAAATACAATTTATAAAACACAAATTAGTGATTTTTATTTTACAAAATGCTTAAGAAAACTTACTATTTCTGTAGTTTCTAAAACACGTTAACTTCAGAAACATACTAATTTTATTTTAGCAATGTATGCCTGTATTAAACTTAAAATGCTATTTCTAAGGATCTTTATGTATATATTCTGTCTTTCAAATGTATAAATTAGAAAACATATTTGAACCAAACTTGAACAATCTGTTTCTGAATCATTGGTATATTTTAGTGGTCATATTTATAGAAATCTTAAATCATGAGATTTTGCCAATTATCCTGAAAGGAAAAGTCATGTGATTAGTCAATATATTCCTTTGGAGTTCTGTATACATAAGGCATGATGAGAACACAGCAGAGATAAAATTAAGTATGACTAAGTGGTTTCAGTGCACAAGGGACTTATAATCTAGTTAGGAAATAAAGAAAAAAAAAAGAATATATGAAAGATGAAGAACAATTTAAATGAAACAACACATTTAACAGAAGTTCTGAATCTGGAAAGAGCACCATGTTTGCTCCAAACTGTCCAGGGAAGACTTTATAAAAATGACTTAGAGTTAGATCTTGAAGGAGGGGTAGGAATTTGTGAAATAGAGAGAAGGGAAAGAACATTCAAAGTGAAGAGAATAGAACTGACAGGAGACAGAAAACTACAAGACACATTTGTGGAGTACTGCTTCCTCCTAAACCACCGAGTGTGCGCTCACGAACTCAGGGGTCTAGGAAGGTTAATAACTAGAGTTACATCTCAAAAAGGGGTAAGATTGAAAGTGCAGTTAGAATTAGTCTGGAGAAGACTTTGAAAGTCAGGAAAATATCTATGGGAGTATAAAAACCAATAATACATGTCTTTTTCTTTAACGGATTTGTAAAACCAAATTTATGACAAACACATGGGCTAATAATCTAGTAATCTTCCTTTCTTCTGTGCAAACTTTCTTATCTATGCCATGAGATGATAGTTCACCCACCTTATTGAGATAATATATGTAAAAGCTCTCTGTAAACAAAATTTATTTTGCAACTACACCTGTAAGTTTACAAAGTACTTTCATATTATCACACACCTTATCTGCACAATGATCCTATTAAATGGGGTGACGAAGGTAAATAAAAAAAAAACACCAAACACCAATAATTATAAAGCAGGGAAGTTCCATGGCCCAAGTGACATTTTAGATTGGTGGCAACAGGTTTAGGATTACTGAAAGAGAATGGATACAGAAAACTAATGTAATACCTACTGCAATAGATCAGGTTTAAGGTAATAAAAACGTAAAGAAAGACACTAAAGAACAAGATTTTCAAATAAGATTCAAGAGAAAAATAAGGTTCTGATGTTGACAGTAACAGCAGCAGTCAGGGGAGCAAATGTTAATGAGCAACTGATGCTGAATCCAAAAATTCCAATCTGGATTAGTAACAGACTGAAGGGAAATAGTAATAAAATTGGCACTGGGCAAGGATGGAGAGACAAGTGGTAAGAGGTTTGCTGTAATTTGTTAAATATGAAATCTAAAGCAGGCATCTAGAAAGGTAGGAATAGAAAAAAGTTTGGGTCTCACTCCACATAGTTTATATATATAAAGTTCTTAAGCTCTCCAAGTAACAGAATGTAAATGGAAAAGTGAAAAGAAACCAAGGACCACTAACATTTGTAATCAAGAAAATTAGAATAGCCAACAAAGGAGATGGAAGATAGTCAAAATGAATATCAGGCCACTGAAGTATAATGAGAAAGAAGTATTGCTTTATTAGTTTCAAAAATAAACAGAGAAAGGAAGAGAGGATATAGTCAAAGAAATAATGGCTGACAATCTTACAGAATTTCTGAATGACATGGTTCCTTAGTCTGAAGAAACATAATAAGCAAGATAAATAAAAATTTATCTGAATCTAGACTTATCATAGTGGCACTGTAGAACTATAATGACAAGGAAGAAACTTCAAAAACAATCTTAAAAAAGAAGTGCTTAGAAATGAACAAAAATAAAAAGGCAACAGAAAAACCTATGACAATGGATTATTATATTCAAAGTGCTGACAGAAAATGACTGTCAACCTATAGACAGCTCAACTACCAGGAAAGGGTACAGTTAAGACTTTTCAGACATTGTCTGATTATACACTCAGAGATCCTTATGGAAAGACCTATTAAAGGACCTTAAGAAGAAGGAAAGTAAAATCAGAAAGAAAGAACAATGGGCAGGAAGCAAAAACAAAGAAAAGGCCAGTGGGCTTGATAATTAGAAAATCATTAGTTACCTTGGAGAGGGCTCTTTCAGTAGAAAGATATAGGAATATTCAATTAACTAGAAGAAAATGATAACGTATAGCATTTTCAAGGTCTGCTTTTGATTCTACTGAAAGTGATTTTACAATTAAGAACAATAAGAATATGTGTAAATGTATGTGCATATGTATGCCCGATTTTAACTTTAAAGCTATCTAAAGTACAACAATTAATTTATATTGTATTTAGGTGGTCCAGAAATACATTCAAGCTATAGCACAAATATTTTAGGATAATGAAATTTTGAGAGCACATTGTGACATTAAAAGTTTTAAGAGAAATATTCCTAAATATAAGGGTCATGTTATATATTTTATATAAATGTATCTTATGAAGATTTTACAAATAAGAAAAATAGAATATAAGACAACAACATCTTATTAAATTTTAGAAATACATTTGTTTCTTTTAGGATTTGGCAAAAGGAATAAACAAAGGATTAAAAAATGAAAAAAGAAAGTCTAAACAAACACTTACTAGAAGATATTTTATAACTTTTCTGGTCAGTACTTGATTATTTTCCAAAAGGTCATTTATAACATTAAGGAGAAAAAAGTAATTTCAAGTTTGAGTTAACCTTCCTCCAAAAAAAATGTTTCATAAGTTGTATTTAATTTTACTATAGACAACACGAGTTTTACTGAATTACACAAAAAGAATGAAAGAATGGTAAACTCATAAATTCAAAACTATCTACACTATTACAATGCTTCACAGTCACGATTACATATATAGAGAATATCTTATGCCTTGTACTTATAATCTTAATTTTATGCCTTAACACAAATACATCAAATTAATTACCCAATATTTTACTGTTTGAACTTATTTTCTCATTTTCTCAATCATTTAGAGAAGGAACAAGCACACCTAACTGAATTTTGTAATATGCTTAAAGAAGAGATTCTTTGATAGTAGTAAATAAAATTCTATCCCAAATTAGTTGGTTCCTAGCCTTTGAAAAGCATTGAAAATCTTGAATTGTCAATTATACAGTATATGAAAATAAAATGTAACTGAGGGTTTGGGTAATTTGTTTAATTTTAAGGGTTTATGGGACATAATCAAGATTTAAACCAAGAGTGGAATCCAAATTTCATGACAAAAATGTAAACTGTTTAAAATCGCTTTTTTCTTAATATAGTTAAAACAATTAGAAAAACACAAATTTACACTAAATTAAACCCAGTTAAAGTAACTGTCTTATAACATTAACACTATCTAAATAAACAATATTTACATTCAATCAAAAAAGTAGCATACCATAATTAAAGTGGATTTCTCACTTCAGTTTTCCATGGTAATCAGAAATGTGAAAAGCTGACTGCAGGGACATTTTGAGGGTCATTTCAAGAACAAAGAAAAAAGCTCCATTTTCAGAGCTAAAGAAACTTAGCTATAAATCAGTGCAAATAATCTAATGTGAAAGGCTATACTAGAAGTATTCTATGTGCCATTTTAATTACCATTAGCAATGAAGAGAATATAATAAAAATCACATTTCTAAAAAAGTATCCAAAAAGCCTAACCTAATAAAAATTACTGTTGCATAAGAAACTTTGATTCCCAGTAAACTATCATATAAGTTAAACTTGCTGAAATAACTATCTTTTTGTCACATTTAATAAAATTTCTCAAGAAAAAAGTCCTAAAATACAACTAAGAACTTAAATATTATCATTACCAAAACAGTTACTGAAAGTGAAATAAAAAATTTTGAAATAAGGCAATTAACAACCCTTGTCTTATTTATAGTATAGACAAACAATGTCTTAAATAAGACTATCAAAAATAATCTACCCTTTCAAAAGCAAATAACTTACAGTATACTCAACAGTCCCTTTAGGTTTCTGAAAAGACATTCGCCTCCCATCTTTCTTGTCTAGGGTCTTCTTTTGGCCAGTGTCTGGAGAAAAGAAAAAAAAAGGCAAAACTCTTATTAAGTTAATTTTCCTTTTAGAGTAATACAAGGACTGCTAAATAGAGCTCACTGGGCAGTTTATCTATTAGATTCACTAATAATACAGAGAATGGGATTCTCTGCTCTAAAATACAACCATCAAAACAGGAAATGTACTTCCTTTTTGCTTTATGACCTGACCAGTATGAAACACTAAAATAATTGGAAGTCAATTTAAAATATAAGCAAATGTTAGCAGAAAGGAAGTTGTTAAAAACTAAATTATGGATTTCTTCCAATACATCTAACCTGATTATAATAAATTATATTAAAAATATATATATTACTAATATCATTATTATTAACCAAACCAAGTCTGAAAAATGTAAAGGTAATTCGTAAGGGAAAAAATTGGTTCTACTTCTACAGTCCTAGTTAAAGATGAAGTCTTCTCTATCAAATTACTTTAAATAATTAAATTTCCCATTTACATGAAGTAAATTAAGATACATTTTCATTGTAAACACACTTTCACATATTTCATTCCAGAAATAGTGCCAACTATTGCTCATCAAGACATTTCACTTAAACATGTCATTACCAACAAGATTATAGTATGTTTCAGTTTAAAATTTACATTAGTATTAATCTTCTCATCTATACATTATATAACAATGACTGCCAATCTTAAAAAACTAATAAAAAACTCAAACATGAGTATGATAGTGGGCAAAGGAAAATGCTGTTTTCACTCTCAACATCTGGCAAGATTAAAATGCTACTTTTCAAGCAAAAATTAATACTAAGCCCAAATAACCCATAAAATATCTATTTCATAGATCTCCCTCTATCCAATCTTAATGGACATTAAGCTCATACTAGAATTTACCTACCTAATTAGCTCAGCTGGGTGAATGGCTCCAATGAAGCATTAACAATGCTAATAATAATATTAATGATCAAGCCTGAGTCCCAAAAAAATTCAGTTGGCTCTGCAATGCTTCAAAAAACTGTCTTAAACCTTCCTGATCACCCAGGTTAATAACCCAAGTCACTGTTATTCATCACACAGCATCTTTATGTCTCCCGCATAGCATCTGCACAGTTTTAAGTTTCTATCTTCCACTAAACTATAAATTACAAAACACCGTGCTTGCTTTGTTCCACAATGTGTCCTCACTCTTGAACAAAGGGCCTGAGACAGGGCAAGCATCCAATTTGAATTAACTAATATTCTGCAGCAACACCTTAAACTGTACAATTCATATGTCATTAATTGACTATAAAGAAATGTAGACAAAGATTTATGGTTCATCTATTAATAGAGGAATAAATAAATAAATAAATAAATATTCTAATTTCATACCCTATTCTAATTTCATATCCTAAATATTTAGTGAACTGTTAAAAACTGAGGGGAAAAAAAAGATTAGAAACTCAGAACGAAAAAAAAGCAAAAGATATCAGAAGATTCACAGGAGAATGTAAAAATGGCTCTTAATCATATAAACCTATGCTTAATATAACTCATAATTAGGGAAATGCAAACTTAAACTAGACTGAGATACCATTTCTCACCTACCATTTAGATAAAAATTTCACTGGCTGTAGAAAAACATTTATGGTGGGAATGCAAAATAGTAAAATTTTTATGGAAAATAGCATTATTTTTGCATATCAATACATTCTGATTTTTTTCTTCACTGAATAGCATGTATTTCAATTTTATTTTCATATAATAAAATACAACTATTTCAAATTTTAAATAGCAATTTATTTCTGCTATTTCACAAACAGCAGAGGGAACCAAAAACATTTTCGTTATTTAGACTTCTTAAAAGCAATGCAAAATTAGATTACTTTTAACTAATATATACTACTCCTTAATGGATTTTTAGGAGAAACTATAAGTCTACATACACTTACTTTGCCTAACAGTTGTTCAGTCCAGTGTTTTATAATATCCCAAGAGTTCATTAAACATTTAATCACAGTGAAGTTTGCAACTGCTCTATCATATTCAAGAATTCGCCATGGAGTACAAGTCAGAGAAAGAAAACTAATATGCCAGCTTTTCATAGTTTAAAGTTTGAAAGAAATTGAAAATACTCACTTAAATAATTTAAAATTACAAGAGACGGGTATGATTCCTCAAGGGAGGAACAACTTAAGACAGGCACAGTCACAGAGGGGCCATCAGGTGAGAAATTGGGGAAAAACAGAGGTGACGCTTAGAACCTCACCCTCCCTGTTTTGAGAGAAATCTTCTGCATCCGTGGATGTTTTGTTGCCCTTGTCTAGCTTGGATTAATACTTAGTCTATATGCACACACCTGATCTTCTACATTTGCCCTCTTACAGCACTAAACTATGTTTTCTACCTTTATCTTGCATCTACCTACCACTTCAGCATTTTATTAAAAATAATAATAATAATAATAATAATAATAAGGGAGAAATGTGGGATTCACATATAAATCAAGTATAAAAATCAAA